CTCACTACTGAGTACTCATAGTTCACTACTCACTACTCACTGTTCGGAACTCACTACTCACTATCTGATGATCGCTACTCGCTACTCCCGGCTCCCTACACAGTACTCACTGCTCACTACTCACTACTCAATACTCACTACTCCCTACCCGCTACCCACTCGTCATTAGGCACAAGGCGCTACGCTACTCACTACTCACAATTCAGTACTCACTACTCACTACTCACTACTCGCTACCCACTACGCACTACTCACGACTCACTACCCAATAATCGCTACGCACTACGCACTTCTCTCACTACTCACTACTCCCTACTCCCTAATCGCTAGTCAAAAGGTCGCTACACACTACTCACTATTCAGTACTCACTACTCACAACTAGCGACTCACAGCTCACTACTCGATACTCCCTACGCACTACCCACTGTCCAATACCCAACTCTCACTTCTCACTACTCACTACTCACTACCCACCACTCCCTACTCACTACTCACGACTCACTACTCACCAGTCACTACTCGCTACTCCCTACTCGCTGCTCACTACTGACTACTCCCTCCTCAGTACTCACTACTCACAGTGCCTTTTTCGCGACTCACTATTCACTACTCGCTACTCCCTACTCGCTACTCACTAATCACTACCCATATTCCCCACTACCCACTATTCACTATTCACTACTTATTACTCATTATTCCTTGCGCACTACTCACTACTCACTTCTCACTCCGCACTACTCGTTACTGTCTACTCACTACTCACTACTATCTACTCACTACTCACGTCCCGCTACTCACTACTCACTATTCACCAGTCCCTACTCCCTACTCACTACTCACTACTCTGTGAACTCACTACCCACTACGAGATAATCACAACTCACTACTCACTATTCACTGACCGCTCTCCACGTTTCACTACTCACGACTTACACTTCACTACTCACTACTTACTGCCCACAACTCACTACTTACTACCCACTACTCGCTACGCCTTACTCACTACACAGTAGTCACTACTCACTACAACCACACGCTATTCCCTACACCCTGCTCGCTACACAATACGCACCACTCACTACCAAGTACTCAATACGCACTACGCTCCCGCTGCTCACTTGACGCTACTCCCTACTCACTACCCCCACCTCGCTACTCACTACTCAGTACTCATGCTCACTACTCACTAAACACGACTCACTGCCCACTACTCACTACTCACTACGCACTACTCACTACTCACTACTCACTACTCACTCACAACTCACCATCCACTACTCACTACTGAAAACTCAAGTTCACTACCTACTACTCGCTGCCCACAACTCACTACTCACTATCCGCTGCTCGCGACTCGCTACTCCCTGCTCCCTACACAGTACTCACTGCTCACTACTCACTACTCAATACTCACTACTCCCTACTCGTTACCCACTCGTCATTAGGCACAAGGCGCTACGCTACTCACTACTCACAATTCAGTACTCACTACTCACTACTCACTACTCGCTACCCACTACGCACTACTCACGACTCACTACCCAATAATCACTACGCACTACGCACTTCTCTCACTACTCACTACTCCCGACTCCCTACTCCCTAACCACTAGTCACAAGGTCGCTACTCACTACTCACTATTTAGTACTCACTACTCACAACTAGCGACTCACTACTCTCTACTCGATACTCCCTACGCACTACCCACTGCCCAATACTCAATACCCAACTCTCACTTCTCACTACTCACTACTCACTACCCACCACTCCCTACTCACTACTCACGACTCACCAGTCACTACTCGCTACTCCCTACTCGCTGCTCACTACTGACTACTCCCTCCTCAGTACTCACTACTCACAGTGCCTTTTTCGCGACTCACTATTCACTACTCGCTACTCCCTGCTCGCTACTCACTACCCATATTCCCCACTACCCACTATTCACTATTCGCTACTTATTACTCGTTATTCTTTGCGCACTACTCACTACTCACTTCTCACTCCTCACTACTCGTTACTGTCTACTCACTACTCACTACTATCTACTCACTACTCACGTCCCATTACTCACTACTCACTATTCACCAGTCCCTACTCCCTACTCACTACTCACTACTCAGTGAACTCACTACCCACTACGAGATAATCACAAATCACTACTCACTATTCACTGACCGCTCTCCACGTTTTACTACTCACGACTTACACTTCACTACTCACTACTTACTGCCCACAACTCACTACTTACTACCCACTACTCGCTACTCCTTACTCACTACACAGTAGTCACTACTCACTACAAACACACGCTATTCCCTACACCCTGCTCGCTACACAATACGCACCACTCACTACTAAGTACTCAATACGCACTACGCTCCCGCTGCTCACTTGACGCTACTCCCTACTCACTACTCCCACCTCGCTACTCACTACTCAGTACTCAATGCTCACTACTCACTAAACACGACTCACTGCCCACTACTCACTACGCACTACGCACAACTCACTACCCACTAACCACCATCCACTACTCACTACTGAAAACTCAAGTTCGCTACTTACTCCTCGCTGCCCACAACTCACTACTCACTATCCGCTGCTCGCTACTCGCTACTCCCTGCTCCCTACACAGTACTCCCTGCTCACTACTCACTCCTCGCTACTCCTTACTCCCTACCCACTAGTCGCTTGTCACAAATCGCTACGCTACTCACTACGTACTCGCTACCCACTGGGTACTACTCACTACTCACTACGCAATCATCACTACACACTACGCACTACTCACTACTCACTACCCAGTACTCCCTACTTCCAACTCCCTGTTCACTAGTCACTAGTCACAAGTCGCTACTCACTACTCACTATTCAGCACTCACTGCTCACAACTCACGCCTCGCAACTCACTACTCACTACTCGCTACTCCCTACGCACTACCCACTGCCCAATACTCAATACCCAACTCTCACTTCTCACTACTCACTACTCACTACCCACCACTCCCTACTCACTACTCACTACTCACTACTCACCAGTCACTACTCGCTACTCCGTACTCGCTGCTCACTACTGACTACTCCCTCCTCAGTACTCACTACTCACAATGCCTTTTTCGCGACTCACTATTCACTACTCGCTACTCCCTACTCGCTACTCACTACCCATATTCCCCACTACCCACTATTCACTATTCACCACTTATTACTCATTATTCCTTGCGCACTACTCACTACTCACTTCTCACTCCTCACTACTCGTTACTGTCTACTCACTACTCACTACTATCTACTCACTACTCACGTCCCACTATCCCGAGGCCAGACCCCCCTTCCCTTGCGGGAGAGGTCCTCTCCCCGGCCCCTTGTTCGGCGCAAAGGGGGGGAGGGGGGGGGTTCGAACCTCCCTTCCCCTTTCCAGCGCCAAGGGGAGGAGGGGGGGGGGTCCGGAACCCTCCCCCTTCAGAGGAAGGGGGGGAAGGGTTCGGACCCCCCCCCCCGCCATGAAAAGGGGAGAGGGGGGGGGGTCGAAAATTTCACTCCCCCTTTGAAGGGGGGGAGGGGGGGGGGTTCGGACCCCCCCTCCCTTTTCAACTAGAGGGTGATCCACTGGCGCGCCTTCCCAATTTTGGCATACCCGTCACGCGCGTTGTGGCCCCAGAGAGAGGTTCATCGAGGACGATACCCTCAACTGCGTTGCTCACAACCGCAAATTGTTGGGTCCTTCGCAAGAATAATTTCTGTCTTCGGGGAAGGTCGGGGGTCCGAACCTTCCGAGAAGGCCTCCTCCTTCTCTCTTCCTCTCCTCGCTCGCCGCCGAAATCTGCACAGTGGAACCCCATGCCAAGAAACGCCCTGCTTGCCTCCAGGGTGCCCTGGGTTTCTTGGGTTTCGCTGGTTCAGCTATGGAACGCGTGACGCTCCCACACGAAAAATCAGTGGACGTCCTGGGGTCTCAGGGTTGGGTTTCTTGTGGAAATTCGGAGGCAACAACTGGGAGGGTTTCGTCGGAGTGATTAAAGAGGATTCTGGCCCATTTGGGAGCTGTTACGCTGGAGTGGGCCTCGGATTAACCGGGATCAAACCCGGATCAAGCGGGAGTAAGCGGGAGTAAGCGGGAGTAAGCCAGATTAAGCCGGATTTCGGACCAGGGCAAAATCAGAATTTGACCTCCCAGGAGTTGCATCCGAATGGAAAATTTCTTGTGGTCGAGCTCCCACTTCAATGCTCCACTTCCGCGCTCCCGGCCGCTCACACCACGCCGGAAGCGCTGCCGACGGCGGCGGCGACCCGCCGCCTCGGAGCGCGCGCCGCTGCTCCTCCCGATGCTGCCCGCCTCACGTTCCGCCGTGGCCTCGGTCGATTGACCAAGCAAGGGCCCCTCACCAAAGGGAGGGGGCCCAAGTTAGGAGGGCCAAAAACATTAGGGGTAGGGGCTGCTGTCTGCAGATGTATCGAAGCAAACCGCCCAGACTCATTGATCCCTAGTGCGAAGACGGGAACCTCAGTAAGGCCACGTCTCCATCGTCTTAGTAGGGTTGGGGGTTCTCTTGTCGCGGCCGCTGTCGCCATGGCGGGCGACGGGCGGACGCGCTGGCGGGGACGCCCCGCGCGCCTTGGCGCCCTGCTGCGACCAGGGTTTGATCCAGATTGGCTTGAGCCAGAATAGCTGTGCCGATCATAAGTGGTGCATGGTAAAGAAACTCCTGATCTGTCCGCGGGTCAACCGGGCTCCCATGCGTTGGCTCGGCCAGCTCAGAATCTTGAGCCCAAATGGCTACGGAACGAAAAGGAAGAGGAGGAAGAGGAGGAACGGAACAAGGCAGAAACCGACGAAGAAGCGGAAGATAACAACGACGACGGCAACCGCGAGGACGACGCCCAAGACCACGACCACGAACACGACCACCAACCCTGTTTTTTTGCTGCACGCAGGCGGTCCCGCACGCGGCTGGGTCTCCAGACTCACCAGCGGGTCCTCCTGCCCGGCCAGCGTCACCCCTCGCACGGGGTGATTCGGATGCGGGCGGGGAAGCAGGGGGGAACGGAAGGGGAAAAAAGGGAGATAGAGGTAGTATGGCGGGGGAGGGGGAGGAGGGGGAGGGAGGGACAGTAGGGAGGCTGGGAATCGGAGATGAGGGGGATAGAGGGAGGGTGGAGCTGGTTCCCCGGAGGGATCTCCAGATGCCTTTGTTAGCACCTAGGCGCCCCGAAAGAGCTTCAAACGTCAAACAACTCAAACATGAACGGGGAAAAGGGAAGGGATCTGGTTGAGAGAGAGAGAGAGAGAGACGAAGATAAAGGGAGAGAGATAAACAACAAAGTATCCCAGTGCGACCCTACCTAGGAGTTGGAGCATGTAGGAAAGCAACATCTACATCTACACCGACAGCTACGTTTACATCTACACCTGTATCTACATCTACATCAAGATCAACAGCGAGACTCACAGCTACATCTACATCTACACCTACATCTACACCTACATCTACATCTACATCTACATCTACACCTACATCCACATCTACACCTACACCTACATCTACATATACATCTACACTTTCGCATTGGCTTTGCTGTTGCTGTGCATTGCCTTTGATTTTGCTCTTGTCTATGATATGATATGATATGCTGCGCTATGCTGTGTTGCGCTATGCTATGCTATGCTATGCTATGCTATGCTGCGCTATTATATGCTATGCTATATTACGAAATGCTATGATATGCTATGCTGCGCTATGCTATGCAATGCTATGCTATGCTGTGCTATGCTGCGCTATGCTATGCTATGCTGTGGTATGCTATGCTATGCTGTGCTATGCTATGCTATGCTGCGCTGTGCTATGCTAAGCAATGCTGTGCTATGCTATGCTATGCCATGCTATGATATGCTATGCTGCGCTGTGCTATGCTATGCGATGGTATGCTATGCTATGGTATGCTATGCTGAGCTATGCTATGCTATGACATGCGATGCTATGTTATGCTATGCTATGCTGTGCTAATGCTGCGCTGCGCTATGCTGCGCTTAGCTAAGGTAAGCAAGCTATGCTAAGCTAAGCTAAGCTAGGTTAAGCTAAGCTAAGCTAAGCTAAGCTAAGCCAAGCTAAGCCAAGCTGAACTAAGCTAAGCTAAGCTAAGCTAAGATTATATACGCTAAGCTAAGCCAAGCTAAGCGAGCCTAGGCAAAATTAAGCTAAGCTACGCTAAGTTACGATGAGATAAGCTAAGCTAAGCGAAGCTTAGCTAAGCTAAGTTGGGTGAACCCAGGGGGCGCAACTGGGGGAACCGCGGGACGGATCCTGGGGGAACCGCCCGGAGCGGTTTGCACTGCCCGACCCCTTTAAGAAAGAGAGTAAGAACCCTCTAGGCAGAGCCTAGGTAGGGAATAAAGAGAGAGAAGGGGGAGGTGGAGAAAAGAGAGATGGATCAGGAATCAGGAGTATGGCGAATGCCCCCCTCGCTAGGGGATCTGGTTTGCTGTGTGAAGAGAAGCGTTGTGTGTCAGCTGTTATCACATCAGTTCCTCGCGATGTAGGCCATCGCGCTCATTGAATGCTAGTGCATACCATGACGTGATGCCATGATATGCCATGCTATGCTGTGCTAGAACATGCTAGTAAAGCGATGTGCAGTGATGGTGGTACGACGTAGGAGTTACGTGATACCCCCAAACGTGGTATGAAATGGCATTATGTAGTATATTACACGTGCACATGCTGTGATGGCACGCAACGGTGATGTTGATACACTATGACCTGATAGGTTCGGATGTGCACCACCACGTGGTGTTACACCATGGAATGGTACATGATGATACGCTACAATATGAACCGCTACGGGATGCAAAACCATGCGACGCGAATTATTGCACGCGCAACTGAGCAACGTTGCGGTGCCGTGGTGTGGTTCACGGTGCTATCCAATGTGTTGTTCAGCTGTGTTGCATGCGTGCGCGTGTGTTCCATTGCGTTGCACCTGTGATTTCCATACCGTTGCGTAGAATTGCGCGTGATGTCACCAGAACGGAGGACACCCCTAACTGGGGTCCCTCGCGCCCGACTTGTTTTCACATGCAATAACCAGTGTACGTATTGCATACATTCTCACCGTGGCATTTATGTTCGCCCCTGGGGCGGGCTCATACCCCTATGCCATTGCGCCAAGATGCCGCTTGACAAGATCCGAGAAGAAACTGCAGCCTGCTTCTGTCATTGGCATGAGCAGCCTCTGCGTGGCAGGTCGACGCTAACGTCCTCCCAGTGCACATTCTCCGAAACTCACTGCCGAAGCTCTAAGCAGCGTTGGCAGAGCGCCAGATGAAAACTTACAACGCAACATCTGCCTGCCTGCAGCCATGACGAGGAGAGGTGCTGCACGTCATCCTTTCGCATCCGACCTTCTCTCATTGCTCCAGGTAGTTAATCGCTTCGCGAGGAGAAACAATGTGTTCGGGGACGAGCGGGGGGAGGAGGACGAGGAAGAGGAGGAGGAGAAGGGGGAGGAGGACAACGAGGAGGAACGTCTCGTCCCCCTCAGACGTATCCCGTCCTCTTCCCCATTCCTCCCGCCTCTGCTCACTCTTCCCCCTTTCCGTCCTACTCCTCTCGCTCATCCCCACTTTCCTCGCCACCATTGACAATCAAGTGGGCAACTTCTGCTGGCAAGGCAACTGGCACGTGAGCAAAACACTTGCGACCGACAACTAATAACACGCACCACTGGAACTCCTAAACCGCCTTGCTCGCCAGGTCGCACGGTCATGCTAGAACGCCCCCCGTCGGCCAATATTGGCGGAATGGGGCGGCGGGTGAAGAACTTCAGTGCAGCGAGTTGGATAAAAAAGGGATCACTAAATTGATTATAGGGTGAAGAAGGCAAAACTTTAGATGACTACGGCGGTAAAAACCGAAGCTATCAGACGCACTGTGGCGACGCTGAGTGTTTACAGTAAGTGAAGGCGTAACTGGCGCAGGGAAAAAAAGGGACTATGCTTTGGGCATAGATCCCAAAGGGCCTACTAACACGCGGTCCATTTTTTCACGCGTCGCAGTGCACCAGGTTATGCATACTGATGGAAGTGGTCGCAGTAACTCTACCACTGACTAGCGCCCTGTAGCAGGTGCCAACTCGTGTCTTCCGCTAGTGATATGTTGGTTTCTACCTCGCGCATGCATTTGACGCGTCGTCCCTGCCCACATCTTGGGTCAAACTGTATGCCAAATTTTCATGTGTTCTTACGTTGGTCATTATGATGTCTCCTCGTCTCACCGTCGCTTCCGGCCAAGACTGTAATAGATGGGTGTGAATAATTTTCCCAATCCAAGCCCGCGGGCGGCGACAACGGCCGCACCGGCATCGCTCTTGAACGCGATGCCGCAACCAATTTTGGACTATTTCAATGCTATGTTTGCCCCTAACGCTACCGACCCACATGCCACTATTCCGCTACACTCCGCGTCTACAGCAGATGGCGCCAGGGCGCTTTGACCCGAACACCACGACTTTATCAAGTATGTTCCCCACACAACTGCCCCTTCCATTTGATGATCCAGGTGCCCTCTTGCACCCAGCGCACTCAGTCAGCGTCGGTCCACGCCGTTCCCTCCTGAGGGCGCTCCTGGTACAAGTGCTGGCATCCACGCCTGTCGCGGCCCCTGAGATACTTCCCCAGCTTCGCAAGGTTTCTCGCTGCCCCGCGGGTCGGGGCACGCGTGGAAAGCGCGAGCTCCTCATCAGGAAGCTGCGCGCCCGAGCGGCCCTCTGCAAGATAGTGGGCTCGAGCCGCCGCAGCTTGGCGCGTCTTGGCTTCGCGTATGGGTCGGGGCCATCACCGTCTCCTTTCTTTTTCTCCGCGGGGCAGCTGCTCACCAGGTATCTCGCATATCCATATGTATTGCTCCAGGCCTAACTCAGCGTGCCTCTCATCCGTCTCTTGCGATTGCCCACCTCGGCGTCATTCAGCAAAACGGTTGAGGGCCCCGATTGAATTCGAATATGTTGGTCCTTGCCCGAGTATACCCGAGCGCGACTTTCAAGCTGTTTCTTGATTTCTCTTTCGAGCCAGTAAAGGCCACTGTCGTTGCCCCATTGAATAGCATCGTCTCCATGAGCTGTTAGCCAGACTCGCCGTGGCGTGCGTTTAAACGAGCGTCGCGTTGCTTCCCCACCGTCGAAGCCAATGTCGCGTGACAATTCCATATGACAGTCTCCCCAGATGTTGGCGGCGCCCCCAGTGCCGTACATCGACTGCGACAATCTTCAGGCATGCCCAGTGCACGATCTTCTCTGGGTAACCTGACGACGGCGATCTTCTTGATTTGAAAATATGCCCATTGGAGATCCACGAGTCCCAGCTTGAGTCCGTCCTCACGCCCCCCTCGGTCATGCCCCATTCCCTCGGTAACTGCCACGGGGGAAAACTAGTTTCTGGGCTTGCAAATGCAGTGGGCGCCAATGTGTTCTTCCCTCTAGACTTTTAATTAACTTGCTGGGCCGCGAGCCGGGATCGGCACTCAGGATTGGCCTCGTCGCCCCTGTCAACATCCATCCACCGCGTGCCTGCGGGGGCTTTGCTGGCAACGACTCAACAGTCCTCCTCCTTCGCTTTCCCGTAGACCCGTAGACCTCGCGCCACCTGGATTGTTCCATCTCCTCCCGCCGAGCTAACGCGAGTTCTGGATGGAGCTCGTCTCCTTTTTCATTGGCCCAAGCGAGTGCTTGGCCATCTTCGCGGTGAACCACGCGCATGGCGCAACGGGCCGCGCCTCGTCGACGCCCCCGCGTGCCTCGCGCGCCCCTGGGACTTCCAACCGCCCCTGGTGTTGGCGCGCTCCACAGATCCATGGGCTGGGTCGGCATTCCAGATTTATTCGGCAGATGAATTTAATGGCGATGTTACGCGCTCCTTCTCCGGATTTTCTGCCCCGGTTCTTTCCTTTAGTCTCGCTGGCCCTCCTGCCACGAGTACCTGGCTGGCCAATGCTCATCCGACTCGCGCC